GTTTCTGATTAATATTCAACAACTTATGAACATTGCGATTTTTCACCTCTCAAGCTCACTTTCTATTACTCTGATTTCCTTATTTCTCATTATTTTGGCGTAAGAGCGAATGTGAATGTAAGTAAAAACAACAATAGAACCATCATTATCAACAAATATCAGATGGTACGTTCAGCAGGATAGCTTTTCAAGAGCTCACTTATCCCTTCTTAGTTCAACCTTGAACTTCTAAGTTGAATCTTTGAGAAACTAGTTAATACAGTAAATGAAGGGATCCCAACAAATCGAGAACTCACCAGCATATTCACCGCATTCAGCCTTACAAGCATTTTCGGTATCATAACGATTCGCATTACCCTCACATCCACCGTAATGGAAACGATTACAAGTGCCATCGGCTTTGTTGTAGTACCATTTGGTAACGAAACGATCACAAGGACCCGTCTCTCTGGGTTGTTCACATGGATGGATATTCTCTTGTTCTTGTTGNCTTTGCTATTGTACGGTATTCCAATGAGAACATTTTGAATGCTTGGTTCTACATGCGATTTGGTTGCAACTTGAACCCTTGTTCAGCTTATAGTTAGAATTGTACTAATCCTCTTAGACAGTGGCTCTCACATTCGGGTGCTCCGTTACCCCTTTCGATGATCTGGCATGCCTCCGTTAACCCCCACCCACCCTGATACAAGAACACCGTGGTGGTATTCGACATGGTTAGGCCTTCTCTTAGACCGTTGTGTTCCTCAATATTGCGATCGATTATGATCGCATGAAAAGCTGTTGTATATGACACGCTCATACACTTCAAGATGATTTAGATGAATTCTCATTCTTTTCGGACGTGTTGTATTCGCTCTCATCGCTATCACATGCGAATACCGTTCTATTGATGAGTTTTTCTCATTCACTTCATCNCAATCTGTAGTATATACTATTTACTGGATACGTTGACGATTGTTGACAACCGAACTCAGCAATACAGCGATCGAATTGATTTGCTCAACAACGTTCGACAGTCAAATGAACAATTATAGAGTGTGTTTGATAGAATGAGAATTTGACTTTAATTATTCAGTGACATGAATGAGAAATTAGCAGAAGAGAACACTTTTGGTGATAAAAGCTATGAGAGCGATTGTAACAGCAAGGAAAAGAATGAAAACCCTGTTAGGTCCAAACAAGCTAATGATACTCAGAAAACGGGAGAATAAAGAGTGTTGCCATCAACTAATCAAGAGTTTCGCTATACTCATTTACAACACATTTCCGAGTTGAAGAAACACCATTAGAGTTCTAATAAAGTTGAAATTATGCTCAATCACATAATCTTGCCATTTGAACTCCCATGAACTGTTTTAAACCAAAGCAACATTCTTCAATTGCGATATAGCTGCTGTATTAGAAAGCTGACTGCAACGACGCTCATTCATTGCTTTTTCCATTTCGATTGCATCACAAGATTTACACAATCAAATGAATGGATTGATATTCAATAGGAGGTGAGGTGTTCAACGTATGCGAAGCTCAAAGCAATGCAAAGCATTATTCATGTCATCAATCTTCAATGCTTTCTTCAGACCGATCGTGAAGTATTTTAGCGTTAAACTGATGAGGACTGTCTTTTAAATGCTGATTTATTGCTGTGTAATGGCGATCAGCGAACAATTTCGCCTACGTGAATGCATTTTTCTCGCCTCTTTATGCATAGGCTCAAACTGCTTAGTGCCTGCAAAACTTGGCCGCTCTATGTAGGCTAAAGTATGAACAGGAAATTATCACTAACTGTTAAGCTATGCATATGAATGACTAACGACTTTTTGACTAAAACTGTCCAATAACCCATTGAAAGTTTTTAGTTTATGAATCTAAATCGGATCAGTAACTCGCTACTCAATACTGAAGCATTTGCAACAGTTCAGATGTTTATTTTAGTATGTTTAGAGAATGCTCTTTGATAGAATTCTATCATTACATAAAATAGATCAAAT